TTTTGAATCTTGTATTTACTGAATGTTCTTCTGATTTCAAAAGCTAAATTATCTTGGCTTTTCTAGATGGTCATGTGATTTCCTGAAATAATGACAGCTTACACTCTTCATTTCCAGTACTTACACTCTAGTTTCTATGTCTCTTTGTGCCAGATACCACTTCTACTTTAAATGTTGGCTCCTCCTGGTCTTATTCACGATTTGAATTGGAGAACTTCTGATGTGTCCTCCATTTAATGTGCTACTTCTGGAAGATCCTTATCACATTAAGGACATTTCCTTATACTATTCTTAATAAGAATCAAGAATGGGTGCCATCCTCAACGTGTGGCTTCCTTGTCTAAGAAGCTTGCTGTTCCACATCTCTCTAGCTGAAGTCAGGGAAAAGGGGAGACAATCTGGGGAGCACATACTCAGTCCTTTGTGGATAAGACCCCGGAGTGGCAAACATCATCTCCATTCACATCTCAGAGGCCAAATACTAATCACAGGGCCACATCTACAGCTGCAGGGTTGTCAAGGGATTAACACTCTTCCTGGTCAGCCTGTGCCTAGCTAACACACTTAGAGGTAAGAGACCAGATATTGAAGGACAGCTAGCTACACAAGATGATCACACGCTTTGTTCCTTTCCTTCATTAATGTATTAAAAAGCATTAATGTATTTTCTAATGTTAAATCACCCTCACATTCCTTAAATAAATTCCACTTGGTCATGAAGATTCTTTCACTGTATTTTTAGATTCTGTTTGTGAATGCTTTATGATTTTTACATCTGTGTTTATTAAAAGCTTTTTTTACATTTATATGATACTTTGCAGTTTTTAAGATCAGTTTACATACATTATGTCACAAGAACAGATGATAATCAGAAGCTGACTATAAAAAAAGATATTAAGTAAATAAATAGAAAATATCTCCAAAGGGAATACTGCAGCCTTTTCTTATTACTGCCTAAATTCTAAAAGGCCCTCTGTAGAGGATACAGAGAATTGAAAAAGGATTTTTTATCACATGAACCTGGGAGAGATGTTACCACCCTCTGAGCTGCACAGGGAGGAACGGGGCTGATGCTCTGTAAAATGTCTAACACTCTGTTGGTGTCCTAGACATTGTCTTAATGCAGTGTTTAAACAACCTGGCTTTGAATTTACAAGTCAAGGATTTTCTGGCTATTAAACATTTTTTTAGCTTCCTGCACTTTTGTCTTGATCCTTTACTATCTGCATATACCAAATTAGATAATGGCAACTGAGCTCTCTCCTGGGAAAGGGAGCGCTAAAAATACAGAGTGCTCCTGCTGTTTGGTCGCTAGGTCATACGTGCGCTGGGCACACATTGTCTCGCGTGGCTGAAGAGCTTTTCCAGAATATACCATAATTATATAATAGCGATCACTCAGAAGTATAAAGTGCCTTTGGGAGGAAAATAAATGGTCAGCTGACATAATTTTGCAAGAGAGGCACTCAATATTAGAGCGACTAGGAATCACGGTAAACACAGAATTTCCCAAATAGCAGGCAGAGCCTCTATAGATTTTACCCCCACAAAATTGGCTACCTGCTAACTTCTCTTCCCCTGAGTCTCAGAGCCTCCCGTGTGTCCTAGATTAGATACGCAGGGCAGCGTGTAACTCTGAGATCACTCAGGCTTTCAGTGCGTTCTCCCCCTCCTCACCCCTGCTTCTCTCTCTCCCTCCCTCCCACACACCCGCAGAAGCAATTACACTACCATTTACCTGGGGAGAAGAAGCCTGACACTATGGCTGCACATTTCAAAATGAAGCAAAGATCAGGGAGTTATCTGATTACTCACCTTGGTGCACATGCCTTGTTTGAACATATGAGACCCTGTGGTAGCTTTTGCCCTGGATTTTGTGCATTGATAAGACTGATCAGATAATTCATCCAGATCCACTTCACTGTACTGGTTTTGCATAACCTAAGTACCTAAATTCTTAATGACTATTTCTGTTGGGATAAATGCATACCCTTTTTACCACTCACAGTAATCCATAGCCTAAAGCACATGGAGAAATATCCAAGAATCCCATCTTTTTTTTTTTTTTTTTTAACCATCATCAGCACTAGAAAGATGAATACATTTGAGGTCTAGATGAATAGAACTGCTCAACTGCCACTTTCACTGTTTCTCCTTCCAAGTGGCTGTTTTCTATGGTGAAGGTACACCAGTAGTATGAACAACATGGGCAGTGTTAACTAAGCACTTAAATTTAAATGCTTTAAAATAGTTAATTATACTTTACCCTACAGGAACAGAAAGTGTTTTCTCAGGTCCCTAAAAATGGATGACGAGTGATATAAAACTTTGTGGATATCCAAAATTTGATTGCCTATTTTTATTGTTATATGCAACTAATGAATCATTGAACACTACATCAAAAACTAATGATGTACTACATGTTGGCTAATTGAATTTAAATTTAAAAAATAAAGATTTTCTTTATTTGAGGGAGGGAGAGCATGAGCAGGAGGAGGGGCAGAGGGACAAGCAAACTCCCCACTGAGCGCAGCACTCGACACGGGGCTCGATCCCAGGACTCTGAGTTCATGACCTGAGCCAAAGTCAGACGCTTAACCCAGTGAGCCACCCAGGTGCCCCTGGTTGCCTGTTTTTAAAATGCTGAGCTGGGATTTGACTCTTCACTGTTAGGCTCTGTGGTCTTTTACAGATAAGCAGAGAGAAGGAAAACTGTATGGAGGAGAATTAGCAAAGGCAGAGTTAGGCCGCCCGAGAATAACGATGTTAAAAGCTGTACAACTAAAGCAGCCTGCAACGGGTTCAGCAAAAGAAAGGTCAACCTTACTGTAAAACAAAGTCCAAAAGTAGATCCAAACGTCTGAGAATTTAGGGGAAAGATAAACTGCATCCTGTTTGTCTCCTCTCTGCCTGTCACATTGTAAGAGCTCAATAAATATTGTTCTGTTACTAAATCACATTCGGGTTAAGATTTAAGGTAAAACATAAAACCGTGTTTTGGGAAGTGATTTTCGATGAGTCTTCCTATCATCTTGAGTGGAGAAGAGCTTTCTAAGCAGAGAATCAAAACCAGAAGCCATAAAGGAATATATTAATAAAATTTGACTACTAAAAAATGTAAAAACCTGTCATGGTGGTCATAGCATCATGTATAGAATTGAATCGTCGGATCACTGTGTTGTACATCTGAAACTAATACAGCACTGGATGTCCACCATACTTCAATAAAAATAAATAATAAAATAAAAAGGACTGAACTAGGAATGAAAAGTATAGAATGTGTGCAAGTCTGAGCATACAAAGTCTCATAAATAATCCCAAGATCCCATACTCAAAAATCTAATTTAGAGTCCTGAATAGACATGCTTTAAAAATATAAATAAGGAAGTAAATTAAATGAAAAATTATTATTCTACCACTACTTAACGACCTATAAAATAGGTACAGCCCTGGGATGAGCCTCCCCAGGCCAGATTAGTCTAGTCTACACAGAAGATCATATTTCTGTAGAGACAAAACCTGTCAGTAGCCTTAATCCCTCAAAAAACCTCAGACCACAAGCAGCCATTAGCCAAAGTAAACATGAAAAGAGAAGGAGCATCAGAATTGTCAGTAAATTCTGCAAAATTGAAATTCAAACCATCAGTTTCAGTAATTCCAGGAATAACAGCCAAATCTAAATACTCTATGGCTTTGTGATTTTACAATTGGACCAATACAAAAGTTTTAGGAATTTTTAAAAATATGTAACTGATGTAGTGCACACAGATACCTTGGTATGTAGTTAGCTTTTCAAGTATTTTTATTCAGTGAAATACTAGCAAGGAATTTAGGATTGAAAACTTGCATAGGGATCAAGGTCAAGTGAAAGCCCTAAGTAGCCTCTACGAGCTTGCAGCACTCTGAGCAAATGTAATCTGGTAGTTCCATCCAGCTGACTGAGCTCAGCACATGAATGAGGCCAGCCTGAAGCAGCTATAGCCATATTTAATTTTGCCTTGAATCTGCAACATCCTAATTGCAAATTTGCTCCCTTTAATTTGCAGTGACCCCAGGTGATGGGCTATTTCCATATGGAAGTAGGGCTCACGAGCTTTGTGGGCATGAATTGGGGTGATACCAGAGGACCTACCCGGGTGAAACTGAAATCTATATTCTAGTTCAAGTATTAGCCACGGTGGCCTATTGAGTTGGTCATTTTGGAGCTGGTATCATACCCTTACTAAAGACTCCCTGTAGAGGCTGTGCCTCCCATGGTGTCATAAAGGACAAGGACAATAACCCAAGGTAACTCAGACCCCCCCCGCAAAATTTCTACTTTGGCTGCATACTGTCCAATAATGGGCATGGGGGTAGGAATATTTGAAAGCTGAAGTAAAACAATTTTGAAATTGTGCAGTCTCCATCTTCTCTCTTCGCTGAGTATGAGGAGACCCAAGCTGTTTGCATTGAATTAGATAAAATAAGCAGGAAATAGTTCTGAGGCCTATGATATTAATGTTTACAAATCATTAGAGCCTGTGAAGAAACCCATTTGGGGTTACTTTGGGTACTCAATGTAGGAGAAAATTGCCTTAGAAATGATAGAGATCTGTATTTGAGGATTCCTAGTGTCGTGAGGGGGAAGGAGGGTTCGCAGACGGGCGGCACAGAATTGGGCATCTTATGCTTCTCCCAGGGGGTAGAAGGTGCCACTTGCCCTCCTTGGGGGTCTGTGAAGTGCCCCAGAGAAATGTAAACTGCTAGGTGGGAAGGGTCATGAATTCAATTTAGGTTCTTTTCTCATATACAAAGTAGCTGAAGGAGGTTGAGCATTTGACTCAGTTTCTGGCTGTTCTATCTTAGAATTAGAGCTAGCTATTAGGTCTGGCATAGAATTGTCAAAAGTAGGGTCATTATTTGGCTATGCCTCACTTTGTCTAGACATTTCACTATGACTTTCTGCCTCTCTGTCTTCGCCCCTTATCCTTGTTACCCCCTCCTTGCCCCTGTCACAACAGGTGTAGAAGACATTGTGGCAATAATGATTCCTGAGCCAAAAGGAAAGGAGATAGTAAGCCTGCTGGAAAGGAACATCACAGTGACCATGTACATCACCATTGGAACCCGGAACTTGCAGAAATACGTGAGCCGCACTTCGGTTGTGTTTGTCTCCATCTCTTTCATCGTCCTGATGATCATATCCCTCGCATGGCTGGTCTTTTATTATATCCAGAGGTTTCGATATGCAAATGCCAGGGACAGGAACCAGGTGAGTAGCAAAAAGTTTTTTTAAAAACTAAAAATTATTATAAAAGTAATACATATTGGGGTGCCTGTGTGGCTCAGTCAGTTAAGCATCTGCCTTTGGCTCAGGTCATGATCCTGGGGTCCTGGGATTGAATCCCACATTGGGCTCCCTGCTCGGTGGGGAGCCTGCTTCTCCCTTTCCCTCTGCCCCCCCCCCAAAGAAAGCTTGTGCTCTCTTGCTCAGTCTCTCTCTCTGTCAAATAAATAAATAAAATCTTTAAAAAAAAGTAATATATATATAAACTTTGGAAATCATAGAAAATACCAAGATAAAACCAAAATTACCTGTTAACCTCCCACCCAAGATAAACATTGTAACAATGTTTAGTTGTTTTAGTTTTTCAGCTCTTTTCCAAATACACATGTTTTGATGTTTAACTAGTATTGTTCTGTGACATGAGGTGCTTTGTGCCACATTCCTATTGCTCATTTTGTGGACAGTTATTTATTTAGGCACATAATAAAGGGAGAAAGGGGAGTGAGCTGAGACTGTGCTAATGTGGCAACATTGTGTGGGAAGAGCCAGGATTTTCTGGTGAATGGAAGAAGAAAAGGAGATAAGAAAGAAAAGCTGTTTTAAAAAGCAGTTAATTTTGGAACAGATAATATATACATATGGTATAAAATGCAAAAGGTATAAAATGGTGTGCAGTTAAAAGTGATTGCCTTCCTGTGTCTGTCTCTCAGTTACCCAGCCATCTTCCTGGAATATCTCCTCTTCCATGGATATTTTGTGTGCTTACAAACACACATTTTTAAACAAATGATGGCACTGCTTAACTCTGTACCCTTATTTCTCACTTCTTGGAATATTCATCTCCACACTCAATCAAAGCTGCCTTCTCATTTTTAATGACATATAACATTTCATTTCCTCTATATTTCACATTTATTAAACCAGTTTCTCTTACCAACATGTTTTCTCTTACAAGAATAAAAACAAAAAAATGTACATGTGATACTGAGCACATTTGTGAGTATACCTCTAAGGTAAATTCTGAAGTTTAATAGGTAGAGCAATGGTGTGTATATATTTTACATGTAAATATGAATATAATATGTATTTATAAATATAAATATATAAATATATTTATAATAAATATTAATATCTATAAATTTATTAATTTAATTAGGTATATTTAATATATACATATAAGTAATGTATATATTAAACTATGATAGATACTGCCCAAAGTCTGCCAAAAAGGTTGAATTAATTTTTACATTAACTGATGATATACTGATACTATTTATACTAATGTAAATAACATTAGTATGAGACTACTTATACAGTGTAAGGACAGTAATTACTAAATTACTAATAATACTGTTTTCCCACATCCTTAGCAAAAGAATGTTAGAGCTTTTTGTTGCATGCAATTTGATGTTAAAAGTGGTATCATATTCTTCTTATCACAAATAATGTTGGACATCTTTTCAAGTAAAATAGAAAAAATGAATTTTTTTCTCAGATACCTGCTTATATTATTTGACCACTTTTCAGTTGAGTTGTTGGTCATTTTCTTGCTGATATGTTAAGTGAAAGAAATTGAAGAGAAGACTATTAGTCAAAGGAGTTAACCGACATAAGATTTAATTTATCTTCCCAATTTGTCATTGCCTTTGATTTATCTATGGTGCTTTTTGCCATGCAGAGATTTGGGGGTTTTACCTAACTGAATTTATCTTTTTATATAGCTCCTGAGTTTTGTATAATAAGATTGTCTACAGGCCAAGACTGTAGGAAACCATTCTCTCATATTTCCATCCACTACTTTTTATTTCACTTTTATGATTAAGTCATTAATCTACAGAGAATTTATCTCAGTGTAAAAAATCAAATGGAGAGCCAACATTATTTTATTTGAGATGGCCTACCTACCAGATTTTATAACTGGTATTTATTCAATAATTAATCATCCCCCCCCATATGCAGTATCCCCGTTAAGCATATACTAAATACCCATATGTAGGGCGCCTGGGTGGCTCAGGCGTTAAGCATCTGCCTTCAGCTCAGGTCATGATCCCAGGGTCCTGGGATCGAGTCCCACGTCGGGCTCCCTGCTCTGCAGGGAGTCTGATTCTCCCTCTGCCCCTCCCCACATTCATTCTCTCAATCTCTCACTCGCTTGCTCTCTCTCTCAAGTAAATAAAACTCTTTAAGAAAATAAATAAATAAATATCCATATGTATTTGGTTCTGTTTCTCTGCCCTTGAAACTGTACCATAATCTATTCATACTCCAGTACATATTATTTTGAGTACTTTGGCACTATGATATTGTCTCATATCTGTTCCTACTAATCTTCCTTTATTGCTCTACCTTCACTTTTTACATCTATTTTTATATAAATTTAGAATCACTTTTATCTGTTTTTTAAGTTTATAGAATAATTTATAAACTTATGTTGTTGAATTTTACTTAGTATATGTTTGCCCTTTATTCAACAATTCTTTTTGTCCCCTACTAACATTTTTAAATATTCTTATTTAATCATGCACACTTTTTATGTTTATTCCTAAGTATTTAATAATTGTGTTGCTATTATAAATGAAATATTCTTTTTCATATAGGAAGGATTTTGATTTTTGTATTTTTATTTTGTACATTATTATAATTTACATATTTTATAGTTTATATTTGTAATAATTTTGTAATGATTATAACATGCCTTAGTATTACCTTAATACTAATGGTAATACTAACTAGTATTATATGCAGGCATGTTCTAAGAGTTCTGTGTATGTTTGAATACTTAACAGTCTTAAAACCCTTTGATAGGATTTTATTGTCCCCATTTTATGGAGGAAACAAAGAATTAAGTGGGTTGCTCAGTGTTACACAGCTAGTTATTAATAGAGCCCGTGATTGAACCAAGCGCAGGGCTTTAGAGTCCATGCTCTTAACCACTACATTGAAGTATTTGTGATTGTTTTTATATTAGTTTATCAGGATTACATTAATAATATGCACAGTTAGTGATAATTTACTTCTTTCAAAATTTTAAACCTATATATATATGTGTATATATATAGGTTTAAATATAATTTAACCTATATTAACCTATATATATATAGGTTTAAATATAATTTTAAACCTACATATATATTCCTCTTCATTAAGCATTTAATGGGAACATCCTGAGTTTAATGGGATTTTTTTTTATCATTTTTCCATTTTATTATTTTCCCATATAGTTTTCTGGGTCGAAATACATTATTTTCTTGTGTTATGTAAATGAGGATTAGTCTTATTTCATTCTGAGTTTTTAATCAGGAATGGAGGCTTAATTTTAACAAATGCCTTTTCAACAGCTGTGGTCTGAGTTTTTTCTCTTGATCTGCTAATAGAAGTGTATTATATTAATGAATTTCTCAATATTAGACCATCTTAAATCTTCCATACATACTGTTCTTCTAACACATGCTACATTGTATTTGTATTTTTTTTACCCTGATATTCATATGTGAAATTCATCCATAGTTTACATTTTTATCATGTTCAGGTAACAGTTATATTGGCTTTTTTAAGGAATTTGCAAATTTTCCTCCATTTTTGTAGTCCTCCATTTTTTGTAGTCTGCAATGTCTAACATGATAGCCACTAGCCATGTGTAACCATTCAAATTTAAATTAGTTGTAATAAAATAAAATTTAAAATTCTGTTTCTCAGTTACACTACCTACATTTCGAATGTCCTATATATGTACTGCCATTTGGTAGCCATCATCATGGAAAGTTCTTTTGGACAGCCCAGCTCAAGAGCATTTTAAATAGGACTGGAATTAGCTGATTCTTAAAGTATTAGTACAAACTTTCTGCAAGCCAGTGAAGTCCAAGTTGTTGTTTAAGAGGACAACTCTTTGATTTTTCCTGTTTTATGGCAATTGGTTTGTTTAAATTTGCTATAGCTTCTGGAACAATTTCTAAAAACATTTGTTACTGCTTCTTTTCTGATTCTCAGTGATACATGCTCAGTCTAATAAATTTTGGCATTCAAAAATAAAAATACTAAAAGAGAAGACAAATCACCCATTACCCCTATGGAATAGTTAACAATTGAGTATCTTACCTTTTAGGTTTTGTAACCACCTAAATATATATTCTGTAAATTGTCATTGCATATGTGTCTATGTATGAGACACAAATACACATGTAAGTTTTGTGTTCTATTTTTTAATTAATTGCTGAGCATTTTCCCCTGTCATTAAAAATCTTTAAAACATGATTTTTAGTGATGATGTAGTAGTCCAATTCCACCACTTACCAAACATAGGCAAATTACTTAATCTCTTCATGCTTTGGTTTTCTGAACTTAATGCGAATATACCTTCCTCTTATGGTTATAGTAAAAATTATATGAGTTAATGTATATTATTTTTCAAAGTCTCTGAACATGATGCTAATCACTTTTTAAGCTTTCAATGAATAGTACCCAATGTAGATTCCTTGATGACTACTTACAAATCCACATTACCACTTTTATTGAATATTCTGGGATTTAAGTGAACACTTACTACCAGGCAGACACAAGGCAGTGAAAATACAGAACTAATATGTTCAGTTTCACTGGTTGCTAAAGTGTATATATATAAAGAAACTACACATATATAAATCAGTTATTGCTAGGATACGTAGCTAATTTGATATTGATAAATAAAAATGGTAACCCTGTATTTTTGAGTCTATAGATAGTCCAAGTCATCATAAGGCAATTGAGTCAAGCATGAAATTTTAAGCTTGAATTTACTAGTTGATTACTTATTTCAGTCATCAGTTCACTCTGTGCAGGCAGATTGAGTTTGCATGTCTCTAGGCATATGCATACTCAGTGATTTATGTGAAAAGCTAATTGGAAGCGGATGGTATGGAAGTGGTTCATAGGGTTTCAGTTTTTACTCTGCTCCCATTTTATTAACTTTCCTCAAATTGCAAGATGTTACCCTCAGGGTCACTCAGTGA